GACTTCCGTAGTAAGTTCGTTCTAATTGGTCAATATTAGCCGGGTAATTGATAGGTCCAAGATTTACTATCTCACAATGTCATTTATATTAATATAGGGATGTTTGTAAATGTGGAATTAAAACAGAATGTGAGAATAAGATTTTATAGTTCTGGAATATTATTAAGTAACTGATAAAGTCGCAAATAAAAACTGACCTTTTTATTAAATAATTGATAAACTCACAAATAAGAATGGGCTTTTTTTCTTACAGAACATTTTATTTGTTAACTATAACTTGATTAAAACATACTAATTCTAATACATTCATAATTTCTAAATTTGGTAATAAATTTCTGCGTTACCTTCTGGTTATAGAAATAAAATTACAATTTAGGTAGTAAATGGCTTAGCCAGCTAAGATTTTTTAAACGGATAACATCACTAAGAATGCCATTTGATCCTTTTCCCATAATTTCATTTTCATCAAGAACATAATTAATTTGTTCCCTTGCTGCTTCATCTTGAATACCAAATAAATGAACTTTATGTGGATAGATAATAAGTTTTACTTACTGTTGATCAGAATGTGGTACATGAACATTTTGGGTTCAATCACAACTGTAATGAGCAGTAGCATCAATACTGCAATATTGTGTATTACTTGAGATAATTTTGGCAAACTAGTTTTCTTTGTTCTTCTGCCAATTTAATATTTTTATTATAATAATTTCTTTCAAATCTTGCCTTGGACAGATGTTCTTTAAATCTTTTGAGTAATTCTTTAGCTTATTCCTCTTGGTGAGCATTGTAATGTAAACCATTTCAAAAATGTTGACAAGTATCACATAGATCAGTCCTTGGACTCATAATTTGAATCTCTGGTGTCAATTGATGTCATAATTTTCTGAAGGCATCATATCTTAAGGATTTTAATTTGTTATCTTCTTCTAAACCAGCCAGAAAATCTCTGTGTACTGATTTATAACTCATTTCTGCTGATAAAAATATAACTGATTGAGTTATTCTATTGATACTTCTGCCTGGACTTGGTAATCCATGAACTTCTGCATAATTTTCCAGAAAATTCTTTACAACTTTTGCAACATTTTTATCAATCATCATCTTAGTTTTCCATTGAGACATCCTTTTAATATTGCCATGAATTCTTGGCAGGAGACCATTGTTTATCAGATGATTTCTAATATTTTCAAAATAAGTCCTACCAATTCCCAAAATATTGAGATAAGTTTCTTGACAAAGGAGTGTATTGTGATCTCAATGATAGAAAGTTCTTTTATTAGATCTAGTTTTCTTCTTAAGGCGTCTGCTGGTGCTTATTGACCCACCATCCATTGCTTTTAACTGGGCCATTAAAAATATGTCCTGTTCAGACTTGGAAAGAGCTTGAAAGGATTCTCTTAATTCTGCAAATTGTTCTTTGGGAATTCTTGAAGAACAACCACAATCACAACCTTTTTCTAAAAAATCAATGGCCTTTTGATATTCATTAGAACCATTGTATTTATTATTGCTTTTCATATATACACTTATCCCTATATATAATTTTATAATTTTTTATTCACTTTGTAGGTTTTTAAAATTAAATTTGGGTGAATCTGTAAATAAATATCAAGAATAATTTTAAATATACTAATTGATGGAAAATATGTTTGTTGAGTAACTTATGAAAGAATATTTCAAGAAATTTGGACAACTGGTTTATGCTCCTGATTTGGGTTAGCAATCAAAATAAGAAAAAACAAATTAGTTTAAAGACACTTACCATAATTGGTTATTTACAGAAAATGTCTTTAAATTGGTAACTCCATTTTATTATATATATCATTATACAGTATTTATTTGGAATTGATGTCTAATAGTTATTATTATAGATTAATTGAAAATAATAAAAACATAAAGATAAAAGACAATGGAAACAAAGTTATTAAATAATGATAGTATTATTTAGCAATAATAATCAAAAAAAAAGTATAGTAAAGGTAAATTTCTTTGAGCAAAACCAATACCAGTTTGTAAAAAAATAATTGCATGACAAAATGAATATACATAATGCATTAAAAAACTATCAAACTGCAAGAACCAAACGAACTTATATCATGAATATAGAAAGAAAATAAATTACAAATTTTTTATTTTACCATTTTTGTCAATTAATAATATTCACTTGAAGAAAAACAATTTCTTTGTTAATATTGGTATTAAGCAAAATGAAAATTCACTAATTTATCAATATTATTATTAACTTCCATGATTTTTTGAATTCTTTCTTCCTATTAGTATTGGTATTAAGCAACATGAAAATCGATCAGTTTAAACAATATATTCAATTAATTTATTATTGTAAACTGGATAGAATTCATTATTTATTTTAATTATAGAAGTACATCAGGTATTTTTATAGCAACATTCACATTTTTATTAATATTAATATAAATTAAAGAATAATTACAGTATCCATTGGATAAAAGATGCATATTAAAAAATGCTTAGAGGTTATTATTTTTAATTTTAATAATCGTGGATATCATAATTTTGTAATTTTATGATATTAGATAGAATGTTCTTGTAAGAAAATTTGGTGGAAAAATACATCTGCAACTAATAATTCTTGCATTTTCGTGTCGCGACTGTTTACCCCCAAGATAAAACAAATTCGTTGCTCTTTGCAAGATGTTTATTGCACAAGATTATTTTGACGAGAATACAGTGTGGAGTTTGTTTGCTTACTTAAAACATCGAGAACACAGTGAAGACTTCTCAGCAGATAAAGGAATTGAACATAGAAATTATCAAAAGGATCTTGAATATATCCTTTTGAATAAAAAGTCTGAAGATTATCGTGAACAAGCAGCAAAGTCCTAAATATTTTTCAGGTAAATGTTATGTAATATAAATATTTGGAGATTCCATGTTGGCATTCACATAACTAAGCTGACTCCGTCTTGGCTTGGTGAGTGTGGACTCCGCCTTCTTGTGGATGTCAAGATTTATTCTGGTTTCATGGCGCAACTGGATAGCTCCGTCCTGTCTGGTTGCCAAAGCTCCGTCCTTAGCCATGCGATTACATGGAAACTCCTGGTTATGACATAGTTAAAAATCGTTTTATTATGCCTTAATTTGTTTGCTATTGTCCAAAACTAATATTTTTTTACATTCATTCTATATTATGAGAATAAAAAACTTTCCGAAAGGGTAGACGCTTTCTGGGCAGAAATTAAACATAAAGAACGAATGGTATGTAAAAAAGTTAGTGAATTTCCATGTAGTTATTTTATATTCAGACTATTAACAACATTTAATAGTCAAAATACTCTAGTTGTGTTTTGAATGTTGCGATTTCTGACAGAGAGCAAGGACAAGAAGTTATATCAACTGAATTTACTGAGATTATAAAGCGAAGATATGACAGTAAAGATAAAATTGGGAACAAAAAACGAAAGCCTGTAAGTTTCTCATTTTAAAATAACTGACCATTTTCTAAATGTGTTTAGTATAAATGTAATTAAGATTTAAGGAAATATGCTTCATTTTTTATTGCTATTTTAGAATAATGATTTGATAAACTCTGTTGTAACTGATGTTGTACCAAATGATGAAAATGATGATATCACAATAAACAAGTAAGCCTTTATGCTTTATATTTAATAATACTGTTCATTCATTATTTATTGACTTCACATTGTTTGTTTAGCAATATTTCTGATGAAATAGTAGATTTAACAAAGATAATGGAAAATGATAATGTTTTCGAATTTGATTTAGGCGAATTTAATTCAATTTTTAATGTATGTACATAATATTTCTTGAAGTAGATATTAATTAATCATTTAAATACAATATTCTGAATATATAGCAATCAGATGTACAAAATGCTCGTAAAGAATGGTTTAGACTAATTCACAAAGTGGCTTTGATGTCTCCTGATGATAGTAATTACCAACGTTGGATATATGCTGCTAATGTTATTAACATTTAGTATGAACAATTTTTTTTTTATTATTATTATTTTCCAAGATAATTTCCTGATTTTTATAATTCTTTTGCTTTATATAGCTTAACAGAGTTTGAAACAGGATGTCAACGTATGCAAGATCATGGATTACCAGAATCTATGTACAATGGTACATTTATTGATCCGGTAATCGGAGGTGCAATTCAAAGAAACCATCTCTTAAATTACAAATGGTATATTTACATGTTCTATCTTCACATCTCCTTTTTTTGTAATTATTATTAATAATAATAAACCAATATACTAAAATTAGGGGTGAAATAGAAATTCGAAGTTCATCTGAACGAAAAAATGAAGGAAAGGATTTATTGACAACAGTTAAAGAGACTGGTCATAAAGCAGATGGTGTAGTATATACAAATAATAATGATTCTTATGAGATTGGAATTCTAGAAGTTTCTTATGCTCCTCTTAAGAAAGACCCAACAAAGGATGCTAGTGACTTTTTCAAATTAAAACGCATGTTAAAAGATTGTATTAACTTTATAATAAAGAATGAGGTATATTCAGGACGAGGAAACATTGAAAATAATCTAAAAATGATTGGTATGCAATCTAGTGGTAAGTGTTACTGTGTTATTTGAACTTTAAATAGATAATTCTTTTCTATTTGCTTACTATTATTATTTCTTTCAGGTTTTGTTGTAAAATCTTCACAATGGAGTTTTGCAAACAAACATATATTCTTAGACCATATGGCCAATTTGATATTCCAGCAAATTTTAATGATTTTTATTGTTTACAAAATGCAATGGCAGTGTGTTGGAATATGCAAGATGTGCTTATCAATAATGTGGAACTTCTTAAGAAAAATAAGCAGTCTCAGAAAGTTAACACAGAGCCAAAAAAATCAAGTTTAATTGATTCAATTACTCCAACAAGTAGATCTCCAACAAGAAAACCAAAGACAAGAAAAAGTAATCAACTTAAAACAGACTCAACAAAATCAAGG